TAACATTATGTAAAGTTAAATTTAAACATACACTTAAATTTGAATTTTAAATAACAATTTTAAAGTGTGCCATTTTAAACTGTACACTTCAGTAGAATATTTAGAGTCCTCAAAACATGGTATAACTACTAATTCCACATCCTTGGCAACACTTGTTATTTTACCTTTTTTTGAATAACAATGTTTTAGTGAGTATGAGACGATATCTCATGATTCTGAACTGTATTTTGGGAATGATTTCTCTCTTTAATGTAATACCAAAGATTGACCCTGGGGTGTTCTAACACTGAATAGTATCCATAGCCTATTTTTCTGAGACAAGGTCTTGCTAAAGTTGCCCATATGATGTGGTCTCAACTTGAGATCTTCCTACCTCAGACTCCGAAGTGGCTGAGACTTCAAGTGTGTTCCACAGAACTTAGCTATGACCAATTTAGTTTTTAACTTAAAATCTGATTTTTAGCTTAGTTACTGTAAAATTTTAAGTCTATTTGGAACAACTTGGGTTTGTATACTTCAATTGGAAATACTGTGAAATTCAAAGAAAGTTAAATTGTTTAACATTTGAACTGACAAAGTTTTAAGTATAAATGGACCTAATGAATTAATTTCCCACTGTTCATTTAACCATGATTGGAGTATACTTATCGAGCATTTAAAAAGTACCCTTCCCCACCCCAAAATAAAATGGGGTCTCTCTTTCTCATTATGTTCCCCAGGCTGGCCTGAAATTCCTGAGCTTGTAATGTGCTTCAGCCTCCCAGGTAGCTGTGACTACAGGTGTGTGCTACCACACCACCCTGTGGCTAGTCTTATTTGAGAAGTGCTGTAAGTGTAGAATACACACCAGATTTGGAAGTGTTAGTATCCCTCTCAAAAAGTACATTTCATTAATGTTTGCATATGGATAACATTCTGAAATATTGTGTTTTGTGTTTAAGTCAAAGACATTTAAATTTACTTTTGCTTTTTTTTTTGGGGGGGGGCGGGGGGTACCTAGGTCCTCAGCATGACAGTCGAGTGCTCTACCACCAACATACACATCAAGCCCTTTTT